CGCCGCCCGGAGAGGACCGGAGGCTGGGGGGAGGGGAGCACCGCCCCGCAGCACCAGCGACCTGGGCCCCGAGTGGCCGCACCATCCCTCGGCTGAATCTGCTCTGTCGGAATTTGTCCACCCTGAGGTGGGGACTGCCGTCCAGGGCACTGGACTTCTCCTAGGCAACCTGAGCCCCGGACTTTCTGTCCACCAGACCTGTTACTCCTGTAACCCACTTTCTGTGTGGACAGGGTGGTACTGCCTCCCACACTCCACAGGCTGCATCCCCTCCCTGTAGATCCCAGGCCTCCCAACCCAGGGCTGGAGCGACTGGTGCTATGGGCCCTTTGAGACCCGTGTGCCCCAGCTCCTGCTTTCCCCATGAGGCTCCTGGAGTGCATGCTCCATGCACACATGCATAGTGCTGGTCCTTGCCCCACCCCTTCCCCACCTGTCCTGCAGGAAGACTGCCTTCTCCCACCCTGCCCCAGCTGAAGGAAGGACCTGGTTGCCTTCACCCTGACCCTCAGTGTGGGACTGTCTTCTCAGACCTCTGCCCCCACTATCTGATGCTTCTGCAGGGCAGAGACCCAGCCAGTGAGGCAGACCTGAGGAGGGAACACCGGGTCCACCCAGAAGCCCAGTGGGCTGCAGGGCAACAGGATCCTAGCCACCTCTCTGACACACATCTGGCCGGCCACCACCCCACAGCTCACCCACCCAGAGCAGCCTCACACCTGAACACCCCCACCCCCCATGATCAGGGCATTCCCCAAATGCTGAAGCCAGCAGTGCAGCCAAGCACCACTCCACTGTCCCTGTGCCTTGGGCTTCTGGTGACAGTCCACCCACCTCTTCCTGGAAGCCCCCAGCTAAACTCCATACTCCCTGTAGGGGGGCCCAACAGCCCTTCATCAGACCAGGCTTCCCCAAGTTCTGTTTTCACTCCCCACCCCAAACCCTGGACCAGCTGCCACACTGACTAGGCTACTGGAGATCAAGCTGCCAGGTGGTCTTCCCCCTGGACCCACAGCAAGAACAAAGAATATCCCCGAGCCCTGGGGACCCTGCAGTCTCCAGCTGGCCTGAGCCTCCCCGCCACAAGCTGTTGTAAGCAGCAGAGGTTTCAGTGTGACCTCATGGGTGATCTGATCTTTAACTGGAGAGGAAAGGAAATCCACCACCCTCTCCCTGCCCAACTCCCTGCAAAAGGTAGGCCAACTGCCTCCTGCAAACCTCCCCGACCACTGAGTTAAGGGGAGCACCTGGGCCAGGAGCCAGTTTGTCCCCGTAGGCCAGCTGGGTATGTGCATGGTGCTCTCTTCAAGGGCCATGAGTCTCATCCTCTGGGCTCCCTGGGCTCTCAGACCCTCCAGGAGCAGAGAGGATGCCAGAGATGGCTGCTTGTCTGACTGAGGGCCCAAGAGAGCTGGCCAGTGCAGGGCTGTGATGCGGCCAGGCCAGCTGGCGGTGTGCAGTGTGGCACCCTCTCCAAGCAGCAGGCCTGGGATCTTAGACAGCTGGGCAAGAGGGAGCCCTTTATTGTGCCCTGTGCAGACATCCAGACCTCCCAGGTCCCTGGGGCCAGAGGCCATAGCCCCTTTGGGGAGAAGCCAACCTCAGCAGGTCTCCTAGCAAGGTCCTATCTTGGGCTGCTCAGCCACCGCCATTCTGGGAGAAAGGGAGGGAAGGCGAGGGCTAGCCATGGACAGACGCCCCAGGTCTCAGCTGCAGGGCCACCGCACAGCAGAGGTAGAGAGTGAGCAGAGGCCTGTGGGCTCTGGGCCAAGGTCCAGGGGCAGGAGTGTCTGAGACCAGGTCGATGTGCACAAGTGCTGCTCACCTAGCATCCACAAGGCTGCCCCTAGCCCATCAGCTCCCTGGCTGGGGCTGTCCCCTCGGCTTTGGAAACTGTGGTGGCTTGCTGCCAGAGTGGAAAGCCCCTGCCAGGGGTCCTATGGCCTGGGGCAACAGTACTCTTAGCATCCCTTGCGATATGAAAGGGACAGCAATAGGGCCACCCAGATTTGGGCCTCCTAGTGAACACAGCTGCTGGTCCTTGGGCACTCATAGGTTCACACACGCCAGCCACATCTGCCCATGTCCTGACATGTGAACACCAAAAGAATATGTTCATGTATGCATGCCCACACACATATAACTCAGGTGAACCCAAGGTTCCAGGTGACTTTTCTGATCTGACCCTGCCAGCCTGGTGGCACAGTGGCCCTGGTCAACTCTCAAACCTGTGGTCTCGGCTGTTCACTGGCAGACCCCAGCTCTAAGTGCAGCTGTTCTAACCACTGAGACCCCTCCTTTCTGAGTCTCCAGGGGTCCTAGCCCCAGCGGATCCTCCCTCTACCCCAGATAGCCCTCTAGAACAGGAGATCTGGAGATAGACACATTCCCCAGGGGGACCCCTGTGACATCAAGGGCCCCTGCAGTCAGGTCCCATGGGAGAGCCCCATAGTTGGGAGAAAGATGGAGAACCAAGGAAGGCAAAGACACTTCTGCCCGAACTCCTCCATGTGGCACGCACACGTGCACACACTTTTGGGCATTCATGTGTATGCAGACTTCATACTCAAGGTGAGGGGATCCAGGCTGCCAGGCTATTGGGAGGAAGAGGGCAAGCTCAGGAGCCTCCCTGGGTCTGAGTGCAGCTGCCAGGACCACCTCACTGCTCAATCTCCAGGCTGCCGGGTGGCTGTGGTGGCTCGGGGGGCTTGAAGCTGAGGACTTCCTGGTAGGTGAGCTCTGGGGGGTGAGGACAAAGGGTGAGCTTGTACCCTCCCCAAGCATAACACCTCCCACCTGCTTCTCTGGCACCTGCTCCCTAGCCTGGACCCTCTGCTAAGAGCCAGGACTGGTCTGTGCTGCCCCCAAGTCTCTGCTGGACAGGCCCCATCTCTACCTGCACCACACTGGAGTGGGAGGTCTTGTCCCCACTCCTAGACTACTCTGGGTAGGAGCAGGGCCTACCCCACCCCTGAACACCACACCCCTCCAAGCCCCTCTTCCATGCCCCCGTGCCCACCTTTCCACTCCTCCACTGTGCGCTCCTTGGCCTCCACGCTTTCGTCATAGGGCTCCGCCTCTGGCTCGTCATCCGGGTCATGGTACTGGCTGAAGTAGGTGTGGGCCAGTGCCTCCGCCGCACTGATCCTTTGGTCACTGTCCAGCACAAGCATCTTCCCCAGAAGGTCTATGGCTGTGGGGCAGGGGCAGGTCAGCTCTGCATCCAGGCAGGACATGCAGCCCAGCCTAGCCCAGGGCCAGTCCTCACCCAGGGGGTTGGCGCCACGGAAGATGCTGCTGAGATCCTTTTGGGGCATGGGGGGCAGGGACTGGATGTATGTCCGGGCCTGGGGGCACATGAAAAGGGACTGAGGGGCTGCTCACCCCCAAACCTCCCTCCCTGGCCTAAACTGGGCAGGGGGCTTGTCAAGAGAATTCACTCCCACAGGCTTGGACGAGAGAGCTGGCAGCCCAAGACTTCTTCCCACAGACCAAGTGGCTCCCCTGTCCACGGCCAGGGCGTGTGGCGTTTGCAGTGCTATGCCTTTCCCTCATTGTCCCTTGTGCCAGGGTGCCTTCCCTGTCCACCTGCTTCCCCTACAGCATCGGTGGCCGTCCTGGGCTGTTTCCCACCATGCCGGCATTCTGTGCCACCCCTCTGTGCCACCCCTCCCGCAGGGCCTGTGGTTTGGGCAGCAGAGGGAGCTGGCGGCACTGAATTGCTGACTCACGTGCTCTGAGGACATCTTTGCCAGAACCTCAGGACTGGGAGTGCCCACCACCTCCATGATGCGCTTCAGCTGGTCAATGTCTAACATGGTCAGGAAACACCCACCAGCCAGCCACGGGTTCCCAGACCCACCCCACCCCCCACCCGACCCTGGGGTGCTGCCCAGAACCAGCTGCCCTACAGCTGAGGTGGTGTGACCTGTGCCTGAGGGAGCAGACCTGCCGGAAAGGCCAGAGCCTGCTTCCTGCCATGACAGAGGGGCCCTGCCTTGACACTGCTTCCCAACCTGGGCCAAGGATACAGTCGTTTCCTGGAAAGAGGGCCTTTCCCTGGAGCAGCTCAGCCATGATGCAGCCCACAGACCAGATGTCCACTATCGGAGAGGAGGAGGGACCTCCCTCAGTCACACTCCAGAGCAGCGACCCCACCCTCCCGCTCCGTATCCAGCCCTGGGGAGTGGGGGTGGACGGGGACTGGTTACACAGGTTTTACTGGGCCACCCCCATGCTCCAGTCCCCACTGAGGCTGGCCCAGACCTGCCTGTCCCCCAGGGCCCTAGCCACCCTCCCTGCGCTGTCCGGCACACACCCGTCTGGCTGTAGTGCATCCAGTTGAGCATGATCTCGGGAGCCCGGTACCAGCGCGTAGCCACGTACCCCGTCATCTCCTCATCCGCCTGGCGTGCCAGCCCAAAGTCCAGGATCTAGAGCCACCACCACGGGTTCTCAACGACCCCCCAAATCCTCTCCACTCGGACCACCCTCCCCACGCCGGGGCCCCTCACCCTGAGCTCACAGTCCTCATTCACAGCCACGTTGCTCGGCTTCAGATCCTGCGGGCAGGGCAGGGTGAGGCATGAGCAGCAGAGTGCAGCCCGCCGCAGACCCCGCCCCGGCGGCACCTACCCGGTGGATGATCCCGGCCGAGTGGATGTACTGCAGGAGGGAAAGCCCGGTGAGCACCAGGTCCCCGCCTCGCTCGCACGGCGGGCCGCGCCGCCAGGAAGGGGACAGGAGCTGAGCACCCACCTTCAGGCCTCGCAGCAGCTGGTAAACCAGGAACTGGACATGCTCGTCACTTAGCGCCTGGCACTTGACAATGTTGTTCAGGTCGGCGCCCATTAGGGTGGTCACCAAGTACCTGGGGCGGGGTCAGGGTCAGGACAGCCGCACCCCCGCCTTCCCGGACTCGCTACCCGGCCGCCGCGCCTGCCCTGCCGCTCACACTTCACTGAAGTCCTCGAGGGTTGTGGCCGGCGTGAAGACGTCCAGAAGCCCGATGACCTGGTTGGGGAGAGGAGTCGGGACCCGCGGGGAACCTCTGCCCGGACCTCGGCCGACTCGCAACGCCCCACGGGCCGCAGCCCCGGAGCGCGCCCACCCGCATGGTTTCGGGTCTCGCTCCTCCCCCGACTCCGCCCAGGAGGCAGGAGGCAGGAGGCAGGAGGCTGGGTCCCCAACGGCGCACCTGACCATCTGCCCGCCCCGGGACAAGGCCTTCCCATTGGTCCGCCCCTGTGGGCCCGCCCCTCACGTTCTCGTGCTTCAGGTGTTTGAGCAGCCGCAGCTCGCGGTATGTCCTCCGCGCGTGGATCAGCGACTGGAAGGGCCGTGACAGCTTCTTCACCGCCACCTTCTGGCGCAGCCGCGCGTCGTAGGCCGAACTGGAAAGCACACGAGTGAGCCGGAGATCCCGGGCCGGCGCAGGGACCGGGGAGGGGTCTGCACGCTCTGGGGACTCACCCGGACTCTAGAGCCGCCTCCCAAGCCCCGGCACGCCCAGCGCCTCCCAATGTTCAAAATACAGACGTAATGTTTGCCAGAGGTGTTCATGGCGTCATTACTGGTACCCAAAAAGCTGAACAGTAGAAAATGTCCAGCCAGGGGTAGCTCCTGGACCCACAAAATTCATCCCCTGGGCTAGAAGGTGGCATAGTGGTTAAGGCGCTGGCCTTCTACATGGCTGACCGCGGTTCGTGTCCCAGACCGGGCGGCTTGAATCTAACTATAGGCGCGTGTGCATGTGTGCCCAAAAATCCCTAGAGAAGGGTTTGGGGCGTGGCCATGCCCCCTGGGGAGGAGGTGGTTTCTCACTTTCTTTGTCTCTCCTGCACGTGCTCTGTAACAAAATTTTCTCAAATAACTAAATAAAAAACATTCCTCTGTCCAGCCCCACTCCCCTGGGGTCGAGACCCTGCACCTCTGCACCAGCCTCCTAGCCAGCTACCATTCGCAGGGGACACCGCAGACACCACCGTCATTCTTAAGCACATGGTCAGGGCCACCCCCTTTCTGCCCTGTCCTCCTGGCTCCACTGCCCTCAGGATTGGGGCTGGATGTGAGCAGATTTGGGGAGCCCTGCTGGCAGCTGGGCCTTCGGCTGCCGATTCCTTCTCGTGTGCTCACCCCTTGGGGTTCCCTAGCTAGAGTGAATGGAGAGAGGGAAGGGGTAGCTCTTGGGGTGGAGTGAGGTGCCAGCATCCCTTGGCCCCTGCCTGCGAACCACAGGGAACATGCACTCAGTCTGAGTGAGGTGAGAGAGCGCTCCTCACTTGGGGCAGCAGGCCCTTTTCCATCCCTGCAGTCAGATGACCAGGAATTGGCACCTGGTGGTCAGCTGTGCAGTAACTGAGCAGACAGTGCCAGGAGAGCATGGAAGGGCCAACAGGGCCTCACTTCAGCACCTAACACCTCCACAGGGACTTCCAGGTGCTGAGACTCAGGTGAGTCCAGCTAGGCCCTGTCCAAGGCCCCTAGGCCACTCACACATGGCCCCAAACCTCTTCCTGCCCTTGCAATCTTAGAGTCGAAGCCAGAAGCCAGGCCAAGCCAGGCCGGTGCTGGAATGGCTGCCAAGCACAGTGCAGACAGGAGCCAGCTGGGACCCCTGCCCTGCTGCAGGCTCCAAAACTGTCTCCCAGGAGCTTCAAGAGACTGTGGTGAGAGCCTAGAGCCTGCCCCATGGCCCTGCTCTCCACCCACTATGACCCTGGCACTGGCCTCAGGAAGGACCCTCACCACATGCTGGGAAAGGGTGTTGAGTAACATTCCAGCTGCAACTCCCAGCTGCAATTCAGGACCCCCTGTAACCATCCTGAGTCCCTTCCATCTCTGTGGTTGGGTATGAGGCCTTGGACCAATTCCAACTCCCCACCCCATTCAGACTCTACTGCGTTTCTGGGCCCCTGGCCAGACCCCCTGGTTCCAGAGCCCAGCTGCGGGGGATGCCAGCTGACTCTCCCAGTTAGGGCAAAAAATGGGTTGAGGTGCAGATGCTCCCGGTAGTGGGCTGCTAGCAGTCTCCACTCAGCCTGCTAAGGCCCTCTGAAAACGGGAGTGGGAGTGTCAGGCCCCCAGGGAACCCAAGGTAGTCCTAGGAGAGATCTTGACCTCCTAGCAGGACTTGCAAACAATAGCACCGGCTGGAGCGGGCACCTGCTAGTCCCGGAGGCTTCCGGACCCTTGACTGCGGGAGACCAGACATCGCGGGCTGGGGGACCCGCCCTCCAGCCAGCTGTGACACGGCAGGGCAGG